CTGACAATTCCTGTCAGCAGTGCAAAGCCTTACATGCCACTGAGATATTTGCGCCTTTCTTTTCATGGAAAGTTGTGTTTTCAAACCCTCCAGCACCACCCTCCATTTCCAGCCAGGGCTACTCCTGTCTGGGGTTTGTGCTGCAGGGAACATGGCTGGGTTGAACAAATACATATATACATTAAAAATTAGAAAAATAGAATGGTTTGACTTGGAAGAAACTTCAAAGACCATCACATTCCAACTCTGACTTGGGCAAGGACACTTTCTCCTAGACCAGGCTGCTCCAAGCTGTATCTAGCCTGGCCTTAAACATTTAAATATATAAGTATAAATATATATCTATAAAAACACATATATAAAAATAAATTATCCATTTAAAAACCACATCTGTGTAAAGGATAGCTGTGTTTGGAACCATCCTAACACAAATTGAAATCTCTCAGTGACCACCACATCAAAATTTCAGACAGCAGGAAGCAGAATGGGGAAGAGATAGCAAGGGCTTGCGTGGCCACAGCTGGGGATTATTGCAAATTCCCACTGAGGGTGGCAGTCCCTGGTGTGGGGGATGTGTCATGTGTCCCCTGCAGCTGCCCAGAGCCTGTGTGAAGGAAGGCAATTGCACACACCAAGATCAGGGCTGGCCTATGGCTCAGCTTCCCGTCAATGACTCAGCCAAGCCACCAAACCCAATGTTTGTGCTGCCACGAGATATTTTAGCACACAATGCCTGAGATCCCAGGAAATGTTCACACCAGGATGTCAGAAAGCAGCAGATGTGGAGGTGGGACATGTCAAGTTCCTCTGGAGAAGAATTCACCACACCACGGGGGAGGAAAACCCAGCGGGTGTCTCTCCACCACACAGCATCCCTGGCAGAGTGTGATTTTATTTTAGAAAATCCATCTTCTCACCTAATTCACCCAGATGCTTCTCTGAGTGACTTGCAAAGGGTAAAACCACTCATTCCTGCCAAAATCAGCCCAGCTGGGAGGACTCCTGGGGTCATAGAAACCTCCTGTCACCTTTGTGACACTTTTAATTTCCTGTTTATTTTAGATGCACCCACATCAGAAAAAGGAAAACCAGCTCTTTGAAAAACCTCCTAATTCATGGAAAAATCTGATCCCAGCCATTTCTGACCTGGCCTGCACCTACAGACACAGTCCCTTGGGCTGTGAGGCCAAGAGCACTGTTCTGGGAAGGAGAGCAAGCTGTGAGAAGATTCATTACCCCTCTGCCAGAACAACTGCTGGGCTCAGGGAGGTGGGATGTGCCCTCCTTGGGCTTATGCTTCACGTGGAAAGAAGGAATAAAAGCTGAGGATGGAAAGCAAGCCCAAACCCTATGCTGAAATGAGAGGATGGTTCATGCCCTCATGTTAAGGAAGTCAGAGATGCCAGGCCAGGCACCCAAACTCTCCTTGACTGGGGTGAAGATAGAAACCAGCTTCTTCCCACCTCACCTGCTTCTGGGCTTGGATAATTAAATGACATCATCACCAACTCATCTGATTGAGACCCCCCTGATCACCCCCAGTTTGAGGCAAAGAGGCACAAGGCAAAGAGTTCATGTGCATTTAGAGGGAGCAGAAGGATTGTCCTGGTGCCTGTGGCTTTTTAAAATTGTTGCTATTTCAATGACAACCATGTGCAGGGTTTGGTTTCTGCCAAAAGTTGAAGCCTATCTGGTTTGGTGCCATATGAGCAAATAATAAAGGGAGGGATATGGGCTCACCTTCCCTCTCTGGCCTATGGGAATTGCAGACAGAAGAGACACAACCAGGATTTTGAGGAATGAAAGGCAATATTTTCCTAAGTATTTTCCCTGCCAGCTTAACTTCAACATTTAGTTTTCTCTCTTAATTAGCCCAGTTATGTAGCCATGTAATTGCTTCCAGGAGCAGCTCTCTCCCCTCCTGCCTGGCCTAAATATCCCTCCCAGTATGAAGAAAACATTTCTTTCAGGTCAAATTATTTTTATTTTGATTATGGTACCAGGTTTCATGCCTACAAACACACGTGGTTACCAGCACAAGTGAAAAATTAACCAATCTGCTGTCAGAGCCAGATGCTGATTCAGTACCCAGCACCTCAAAGCTCAGTTCCCACTTTGACAACAGTGCTCAGGGACTCTGGGAAAACCCTATGTCTCAGTTTTCCCATCTGAAAAGTGAGTACTTTGTGGATATTTGGAAAGTCCATTCTGGACACTTTTGCTGTCCTTTGCTTTGCCCACTGCACACGAGGTGTTTCTACCCCATATAAACCCAGACTTGAGGACACGTGCAACCTTACTTGCCATTATTTCAGCTCTTCCTCTGAAATCATCCAATTTTGCATCTCCTGGGCTGGAAGCATTAAAAGCAGCCTGGGGGATGCCCAAATGTGCAGGGTTTTCTCGAGCACATTTATTCCCCACCAGGAATTAGTTGGTTTTCCTGGCTTTCCCATCCCGGGGAGGGCTCTGACCGTGCCCCACCAAAGGCAAGAATGCTCCCCGTGACTTGCCTCATCCTGCTCGTCCCTCTGTGCCAGTCCTCCCACGCCAAGAGCTGCCTGCCAGTGCTGCTCTCCACAAGCTCTCAGCTCTGAAACCCTGGCCCTTGCACAGCTCTGCTTTCACAGAATCACAAAGTTGGAAGAGACCTCCAAGATCATCGAGCCCAACCCCTTTCTTCCCACTCTGCTCCAACCCCGCCGCCCCACACCCAGCAGCACAGCCCTGCCTTGGGGATTCACCCGCTGCCACAGGCACCTGAGCCTGGCTGGGTTTCCTGCCTGGAAACTGAAAATATCCATGGGAGCTGCTTGGACTGGGTCCCACTGGGGAGTTCCTTAGTGATGCTCTTGTTGGTTGTTGGTTGTAGCAACCGCCGGGCGTTCGGCAGCAGCTCCGGCCACCCAGCCTGGAGCAGAGGGACAGCAGGGGCTGGGAGAGGGGCTGTCCACGGACATTAGGAGAGATGCTGAACCAGGCAACCCCTTCCCCATTCCCACAGAGCTTGTGCCACACAGTGTGGAGCTTCCGAGCCTTTCCTTGTGGTATCACTTCTCCCAGAGGATGAACCACCTCAACACTGAGTGTTCAGGCAATGCTTTCTCACTTTGGAAGGTGTTTTGATGTGGGGGACAGCAGCCAGAGAAAACACAACTATTCCTCAAGCTGAGGGTTTTCCAGGAACATGGACTGAGCTGCTTTTGGACAAAAATCCAAGTGATTGGATTTTTTGTCATCTTTGGATCACCCACCCACGTCAAACCATGGCCATCCAAATTATAAACATGTGCCTGGCCTCAGCATCCATTGGAAGAAAAGGGAAGCTCCTGCTGACCCTTGGGATCTCCTAGGCCAAGCCCATTTTTTCAAATCAGCCAACAAACATTGGGCTGATGCAATGGAGAAGCTGCCTCAGAACATCCTCACAGGGCAACAAAGATCTGTCCAGCCAGAGCCTGGACAGTCTCCTCCTTCCCTTCCATCATACCAGACAAGCACAGAATGGTCTGGACTGAAAGGGTCCCTAAAGCCCATCTAATTCCACCCTCTGCCATGGACAGGAATGCCTACCACTGGATTTGGTTGTCACAAGCCCCGTCCAACGAGGCCTTGAACACTTCCAGGGAAGTGAAATGATGCTTGTCTGCTTGTGCAGAGAGAACCAGAGGGCAGTTGTGCTATTCCACCCTGTGGCTAGTAAAGTATAACAACACATGTACATGGTTTTGACTGTCCATCCAGTTTATTATCTAATAAAATAAGCTTGGCATAATAAATGTTGTTGCTGTGATTTATGAAAAGACAAGAGCAATCCTCATGTTTTTTGCCTGATCTCACCCAAATATGTGACTTCTTCACCCTTTTTATCTTCCAAGCTCCTCTGGAGGAGAAAAAGATGATCTCTTCCTCCAATACCGCTACACTTCTTCAAACACCCACTGCACTGCAAAGCCCAGAACACCATAAAATATCATGTTCTTGTAAGAGGAAAATGCACACACAATGTTGGATCTCACCCATATGGTGAATTTCTCCCAGCAGTTTCCCTGCAGACAACAAGGGGATGCCTTGCACCACACAGGCTTTGCTGGCCCCAGCACTACGAAAACCCTTTAGGGCAAACCCTCCCAGCACAGGTGACTCTGGGATGAAGCACTGCAGATGATCCCATGGAACTGAAACCATGGGGGAATTTTTAAGGCCAGCAGAAGGTGACAGCCCACCCTGGGATGTGGCCAGGGCACCCCTCCTCCCACAGTGAGAGCCCTGGGGCCTTCTAACCCCCCATTATCTCCATTCCACACCGAGCTGATGTGTCATTGACTTTGTGACTGAAAACTATTGATGTGGGAAATGCCAAATAGTAAAACTGCAGGAAATCTTATGAATGTGGAAAGGAAAGGTTGTCCTTCAATGCAGCCTCTTGTTCTATCCCCTGCTAATGTCCAGTCATTGGTCCAGCAGGGAGAGGACCAAGGAGCAAAGTCCTCCCTGATTTGTGCTTCAGGTCTGTTATCTGGCTCTGAGCAGCAGATGGAAGAGGGAGGTTGTGCTCTGTGTTTGCAACTGAAAATGAAACATGATAACATCTCTAGAGTGGAAAATTACAGAGCCTAAGCGCAAGTAAAGCCTGTAGCAGTAAGAATTCAACACCTGACAAGCCAAGGCTGGGGGCCTTGGGGTGATGCCTTCATCTCACCATGGCAGGCCCAAGGCTCCTCTTCCCTGAACTCAAAAACGTGGGGTTTAACATATCCCTGCTCAAAACCCATGCCAGGAGGAAATGACAACACGGTGCACTTGGTGTGCAAAGAGAAGACAACCACATGAATTTGTCTAAGAAATCCATTCAGAAGGGAAGGGATTATTCTGCCTGGACAGCAGGATGTGTTTCTTCATAACACCAACATCACACTTCATGCCACCCAACCTGGAGGACGCTGAAGGCTCTTGAGAACTCCTGAGCCCCTCACAGGGACAGCCCCACCACCTCTTACCTGGGTCATCTTGGCGAGGTCCAGCGAGGGCCGCTCCTCCTGGACCTCCTCGGGCCTCCTGCGCTTGATGCCCACCTTTTTGTCGTTGAGGACGCAGGGCTGGGAGCGGCTGCGGGCCAGGCCGGCGGCACGGCGGCCCAGCTCGGGCGTGGAGGCGGGCGTGCTGCAGGCCGAGGGCGCGCCGTACTCCGAGCACGAGAAGCGCTCGTGTGAGCAGGACAGGGACCTCTGGATGTCCACCCTGTCTCCCCCGTGGCCTCCAGCAGCCGATCTCCTGGGCTGCCCGCCGCACAGCGGGTTGGAGCGGGCGGGCAGGCTGAAGCTGGAGCTCCTCTGCATGGTGGCGAAGCCATTGGAGTAGCGCTGCACACTGCCGCCGCTGTAGCAGCGCCTCTTCTCCACCGGCGTCCACACCTTGGAGCCCAGGGGCCTCCAGGAGGTCCCACAGCCCGACATCTCATCCGAGAAGGACAGGGAGCGGCACTGGCGCTTGCTGGGAGGGGCGGAGGGGTGGCCGTGGGGGTCGCTGAGGCTCAGCTCCTTGATCAGGTTGGTGACGGAGCAGGTGCCGGCCGTGTCCCTGGGCCAGCGCGAGCCCTCCTCGCCCTTGTCCGACAGGCAGTCCCAGATGCTGGCGCCCGGCTGCTCGAGCTGGAGTGGACATTTCCTGCTGAGATCTCTCCATCTGTCATTTTCTGGTTCAGAAAGGAGAAAAGAAAGGGAAAAAAAAAACAAAAAACAACACACACGCACAGGCATTAGCGTTAATTAATTCTGCGACTCGCTTTCTACGTCCATAAACAAAAAGAGTAGCATATGGGACGTTTTCCAGTACAAATTAATTAACTCTTGGAATATGGTTTCCTGAACTGCCAACAGAGTGGGTTGTGTGGTGTAGATGGAGAGAGAAAAAGTGACAGTCCCAGCAGGAGCAAAACTGCTAGAAGAAGATAAAAACATGCCGCTGAATATTCCAGGTTGCACTAGCTAAGGGGAATTCAGCAGCGTAAAATGTTGTGGCTATTGGTTATCTCTGTGCTAAATCATGTCTCAGATCTGTGTGGTTTGTCCTGGGCTCCACAACTGACAATTGCCTGAATTTACAGCTGAATTTAAAAAACATGGAATCACAGAATTGCTGAGGTTGGAAAAGCCTTCTGGGATCATTGAGTCCAATCATTAACCCAGCACTGCCAAGGCCACCACTAACCCATGTCCCCAAGGACCATGTCCACATGGCTTTTAAATTCCTCCAGGGATGGGAACTCCACCACTGCCTAGGCCTGGACAGCCCTTTCCCTAAAATCCAATCTAAACCTCCCTTGGTGCAACTTCAGGCAGTTTCCTCTTGTTTTATTACTTTTTTACCTGGAAGGAATCCCCACCTGGCTGCACCCTCCTGTCAGGGAGTTGTGGACAGTGAGAAGGTGCCCCCAGAGCCTCCTTTTCTCCAGGCTGAGCCCTCTCATTTCCCTCAGCTGTTTTTATCAGACTTGTGCTCCAGACCCTTCCCCATCTTCCCATGGACAGCCACAGCGGAAGAGAGGATTACGGAGGATGATCTCATTCCCACACACATCCCACTGACAGCAAAAGAAGAAAGCAAAGCACCCTCAGGGCTGGGCTGCCCTGCAAAGGACGGGGCTCTCTGCAGATACACCTTCAACACTCAGCAGGAAAACCATGGCAGGACAACCCCGCCAGCTGCTGCAGTGGAAAAAAGTCATCAGCCAACAGCCTCTCCCCAGTGTGTTTTTGTCGTTGGCTGCTGCACACAGAGCCCAGCCGTGCTGGAGAGCCCTCGCTGCCAAGTTTCACATGATTGTATCTAAACCAGGCAATGTTTTGGGGGCTTTTTGGGTATTTCCACTCAGGCAACTGAAGGATGAATCAAAAGCCATGCCCAGCCCGCAGCTGCAGGTACCAGCCTGGTAGGGAAGATACAACGGTGCAGAACACTTCTGACTAAGGTTTCAAGTCAGGAGGTCAGATTTGGGGCCCCTTGCACCACTCTTGGCCGATTTTCCCATTTCTCCCTTCTCCAGCTGCTGCCATAACAGCTCCAGCCACAAACAGCCTGGCTCTGCCCGCAGGAACCACACGGCATTTCAACTGTTGCTCTCCTCATTTTAATAAACACAATGAAAAGTGAGAAATCTGCTCTAGACAACTCCATCTATGTTTAGATCTTTATTATTTTTCCTCTGTACTATGCTGCCAGCAGAGAGATTTCTTGGGTCAGGTCAGCAGACAAAAGAAACAGAAATAGAAGCCGATTTTTCATGGCAAACTGCCACGATCCTCTGGCCGGAGACTGTACAAAAGGCCTTGGTGAGGAGGATACGGGACACCTTCCTCTTTCACCCCTGCTTCAGCACAAACAGCTATAAATCTTCCAAACCTGGCAAAGAAAATGGTACAAGCACCACTATCCCCAGCCCCAGCTTGGGGTTATTTGCTTTTCCCCTTGCACAATGTGAGCTGGCACAACCTGGCCCCTCCGAGTCCCCAGCCATCACTGACCAGTCCCAAAATGCCACATAGCCCAGAAAATGGGTTTTCAGTGCAAGTAGAAAGCAGGTTGTCGTGAAAAAAATTGAAAATTGAGTAGTCTAAAGGCCGAGGGTATAATTAAAGAGCTCTGGAAAGCCTTAGTGAGGAAAAGCAGCTGGTTTTCTGCTCAGTTTTTAAAGACTAAAAGTCCCATCCTGCGCACGTTGATAACGATAATTGCACTGGAGCCATTAATTCTGCTGCAGTTAAACATGTATTAATTTTCTTAAAACTACAAACCTCAGCCTGGTTTACCCTGAGGCAGCAATTTGTTCCAGGAAAAAACCCACCACGAGAGCCCTTGGTCTGCAACTGAGCTGCCTGGCTGGAAAACTCTCCTTTGCCTGTTGGAGAACAAAGGGACAACCAGAGCATGCTGTAAGTGCAGCCTGAGGGGCTCTTGCCCTGCTTAAACAGGTCCTTCTTGGCTGTTGGTGTCCCTGGATGAAACAGCATCTTACTTCTGGATTTTGAGTTAAAACTGCAAAAATAAACATTGGTATCTCAAAAAAACCCAGCTGCTCCCTCACAAAACCTTCCCCACATCAAACAAACCCTTGTGGTGCTCATGGACTGGAGTCACAGCCCAAAACTGGGGACTTGGGTGTTGTTCTCCATCCTTGAGAGATCTGCACTGCCCCACAGAGAACAGGATCCACCCTCAGAGCACCACAGCCAGGTTTCCAAAGGCTGAGCTCCAGGAGCTGCAGGAGCACCCACAGAAACATCAGACAGCTCAGTGATGGCCCTGAGCTTTTTAAGTGACTGCTGTGCCCCTCTGGTGACACAGAGTAAATTTTACTGGCCACCCATAACCACAGAGAAGGGTGTAAAACCAAAACGCTGACACAACTTTAACTACAGCGACACAAATGTGCTGCTATAATATTTTTACAGTTCCTTTTTATACATAATGCATGATCCTTCTGCTCAAGTTTCCTCTACGTTCTTTTCCCATGAAATAATTTACATTAATACATAATTTATTATGGCAACTTGTAAAGCAATTAGAGGTTTCAATCAATTTTTCTTATCCTTTTTGGCAGATAGATTTTGTTTGGAACCTAACCCAAACATTTGTCTGGGCACAGGTGCACATCCAATTCCCTTTTTTTCCGCGTTGTTCAAGTGGAATTTTGGTCTCACAGTTCCTGTGCACAGGGGAAAAGGCAGCCTGCATTTTCCACTGCCCCCTGTTTATGTTCAGGAGATAATTTCTAAGTGTGGGACACATTTAATGGTTGTAATTAGCTGATGGCAGTGCCAGGGAGCTTTGCTAGTGCAGAAACAAGATCAAAATATGATGGACAGAGCTGTGCTTCAATGGGAAATAAAAACAACAGCCCCAAAATCTGCTCTGGAGATTAAACACACCTGTGGGCTCCTTGTGCCAACAGCCTGCATGGGGGAGGGAAATCCCAACCTTGACAGTGAAACCTGCCCAGCTCTTCAGCAGGATCCTCTGGAGAGGTGTCCCTGCTCCAGATACACCTCACCAGAACACCCCCAGCAGCTTTTTCTCCCTGCAGGGTGACTGTGTTTGAATGTGCACCAAGATGCTCCTCACTGATGGCCTCCAAGTTCCAGAAAGAGGAGGCATGCAAGCCTGGCAGGTGCTTTCAGGATGCATTCAAGGGCCATCACCCCCATGAAGGGGTTCAAGGTTGCACTTGATGATCTTAGAGGTCTTTTCCAACCTTCATGATTCCATGAGCTGGCTTTTCTCCTGGTTTCTTGGCTCTCCTCTGTCACCCAAGGATGGTGAAAAGCCATTTCCAAGAAAGAGCTGTGCAACAGTGAGCCCAAGGCTGCAGCCCTGCCCTGGCAGGCTCAGAGCAATGATGCTGCCAAACGTGGTGGAGGAGTGATGTGAGAGTGCCAAAGGACAGACAAACTGACCTGAGTGCCCCATCCCTCACCCTGCTCTGCTGCAGCACCTAGGAGGGCAAACTCTGAGAGCCCTCCAAGGAAAAATGGAAATGATGGCTGCTTTGAAAAGAGCACTTCCCAGAGTGCAGGATCTGTCCCAGTGGCTCAGAGCCATCCTCCTCCTCCTCCTCCTCCTGCCTTTTACAATCATGGGATGCTGCATGTGCAAGCACCTTGTCACTGCCTCAATAAAAGCCTGCTTGCAGCTTCCCTCAGAGATAATTTCTTGCTTACACAGAAAACAGGAGATCTCAGCTGTCAGCACACACCTACTGAGCTTCTCTCACTGGGTCAGGTTGGACAGGGCTTGGAGCAACCTGGGGCAGTGGAAGGTGTCCCTGCCATGGCCAGAGGTGGAGTGAAATCATCTTTAGTGTCACTTCCAACTCAAACCATTCTGGGGTTCTGTTACTTTTGATTTCCTGTATTGGAATTTTTGTGTCTTTGGCTGGATAGCAAAAGGCATGGCCAGGGACCTTCTACTATCCCAGGTTGCTCCATGCCCCATCCAACCTGATTTTGAACATTTCCAGGGATAGGATATCCACAGCTGCTCTGAGCAGCCTGTGCCAGGCCCTCACCACCCTAATCCCACAATTTTCCAATATGCCACCTTTTTCTAGCACAGATATTTTCACTGGGGACCTGCCATGGAGACTGCTGAGGAAGGAAAAGGAAAAAAAAAGAAAAAAAAAAAACCAAACCAGCAAACCATCCATCAACAGGACAATTCTTATACTCCTGGGGGTTTCAAGGACCCATCAAGGAGAAGGGAAAGCATTAGCTGTTGAATTTATAGTTTTAGGTATTTCACCTTTAATCTTCCTCCAGGCAAAGGGCTATATAGAGATAAACCCCAACCTTTTTAGTAATATTATCATTTCACTGGCAGAAATATTTCTCACAAATCTAAAAGCCAAAAGATTATTTAGGTCACCCTGAGAATGGGACCTAACCATGCATCATCCAATATATCAAGTCTTTAAGAGTGTTTACTCAATACACTGAGTTTGGCTACAATCTATAATCCATTTTCAGATTCTTGCAGTGTTTGGTACCTTACAAGAGAAGCTCCAGGGTTTGGATGATGCTCTCCCTGGCAGAGGCTGAGCTTCCCTCTGCCCTGCTGCCCCATGGCCATAGGGTCCTGAAATAAACTGCCTTTCTGCCCAAAGCTGCCCTCACCCCAAAGGTATCAGAAAGATTATTTTCTAAGATTATCTTTTATATAAAACCCAAGAAAAATCAGCCAACTTCCCTCCAAACCTCCCACACAGGTAGCACTGTGAGTCTTTGCCTCATGCTGTCTGTGCTACCAGTCCAAATTTTACTGTATTTATCTCAGTTCTTTCCACCAACAGGGACTTAGCCCTTTGGACTAAAATATTCCCCAAGTTTTGCATTTTGATAGCAACTTATTTTAAAAGTCAATCGAGTTTTCATCCTGGGTTAGTCTGTGATTGTGGCCTGCATTTGTGGACAAGAACTCTCAGGGAAAATAACTAAAATGAAACCCAAGCCAAGCAATGCCCTCACAGGAGGGAAGGATGGGCTCCTCTTGACTGGGCATGACAGGAACCACAGCAGGGCAAGCTGAGGTCAAGGAGGTGACATTCAGTTCCCTCAGAAGGAGGATAATTTGGCAGAAGGCTCTGTAAAAGCCCTTAAAGACGGGCTGCTCCTCAATTAGGCAGGGACTCTGTATCTGCTGAAGAGCCTGCCAGTGCCACAGTGCAAGACAAAACCATCTGATTTGGGTTCTTTGTTCCTCACTCGTGTTTGAGAGGCAGGGCAGAGGGAAGGGGCTGTCTCTATCCCTTCTTGACTTTGATTTTCATCTCAAAAACCCCACAAATGCTGTCCATCTCCCCAGATTGCCAATGGCTGGCGCTATCAGAGAGCTTGGGGGACATCTCCTGTCAGTGCATGTGCTCTCATTAACACTAATGAGAGCTGTGTCCATGAGCAACAGGGGCAGCCTCTTTGTCTGTGGAGGACTGGCTCTCACAGCAAGGAGCTTGGCTCAAACTTGACCTACAATTTTAATTGGGTTTTGAGGCCTGGCCCAGTGGTTGGCTCCCTGCTAGGAAGGCCAAAGAGAAGAGCACAGCAGCACATCCTCTGGCACTATCAGTGTTTCAGCATCATCAGCCAAGGCACCAATCCTCCCTCCATTTGGTGGCTGTTCAGCATAAAAACTGACAGCAAGCTCTGACATAAAAGGTGTCAAACATGTTATAGCATGGTTCCTGTCAACAGCAAAAATGAGACATTTCCCTTATTGTTTGAGGCCTGTCCAACCACTTTGTGCCAGGTGGTAGAACATCTCATAAAGCTGTTATTTATTGCTTGCATCATGCAAACAGTCAAGAGCCACAGTCTTGGGCTGGATACTCAACCACAACCTCAGACCCCAAATGTTTATAATCTCAGTTGTAAGAGTAGCTCTAAAAATAAGCAGATGTAGCAAAGGAGAGGGGAAAGGAGATAAGCAATTCACACAGCAATGGCAGCAGGGCACAAAAAGCACCTCTGGGGAGGAAAGGGGCACAGGTGTGGTGGGGTGGGCTGCAGGGGAGTGGTTTAGGAGGCATCCAAAAGTCAGGACACCTTTCCCACCCACCACTGTGAGGAAGCAGGAGCAGAGGAAACACAGAGAGAAGTTCCTGTACTTACCCATCACGCCACAGGAGAACAGGGTAGGTCCTTGACTCATCTTTGGAGTGTGCTGCAAACAACCAGAAAAACTATTCACTGCTCACAGACCCAACCTGGGCACCAAACACCATCCTAGAGCCTGGGCAAAGCCTTCCATGGCCCTGTTCCAGCAGGGACCAGGGCACAGACACAGCCACCTTTCCTCAAGGAAATCAACTTTAATGAAACTCTGTGCAGAGACCTTTTCAAGGCCTCAGCTTGCAGATCAAGGGTCCTGCAGCCAGCCCTTACCTCAGGAAAGAGCTGCAGTGAGGTCCCAAAACTCTGGAGGAACTAAAATGGGAGCTGTAATTCAGTGGGAATCCTGGATTGGGCAAGAAAGGAGCAAAAGTGGTATCTTGAGCCTCATCCAAGCCCATTAAGGTACAAAGCAGCTATTTAGCTTTTTCAAGCATTTAATGTGTTTCTAAGGCAAGGTATCCTCACCTCAGCACTTCTGGGGAGTCTGCACTCAGATTGTGCTGATTTGCACTAAAAATAGGGGGAAATGCCACTGCATGGGTACAACATAATCCTGGTTGCTTTTCACACTCTTTTTTTTTTTTTCCCCCAAGAATTTTCCTCTTGACAGCGTAAGAGACACCATCAGACTTCTAAAAATGAGCATGGATGGGTTCACATGTAATAAATCAATATGTTACCCACAGCTGCATGCCATTCCAGCTATGCCTGCAAAAACACACTTTCATACTAATTGTTCTTTTATTATCCCTAAAAATATCCACATTCTGGCTTCTGAAGTGTCTATCCTGGCAACACCATCCCATCTGACTGGGGCTTTACATCATCTGAGGGAAGCACCACCACAGCCCCCACGTCCATCTGCACTGCCATAATTGTGTTTTATCTGGCATTAGGCCACTGCACTCACACCTTCCCTCCTGATCCACGTTTCACACGTTGCCTGCTCACATAAATATGGAATCTCACAATGGTTTGGGTTGGAAAGGACTTAAAGACATCCAGTTCTACCTGGAAAGGGAACCTTCCATGTGTCCAGGTTGCTCCAAGCCCCATCCAATTTTAGGACAATTTTAGGGACGGAGCAGCCAACATTTCTCTGTGCCAGAATCTCCAGTGCATCATGAGGACTGGAGATAATAATAGTAGTAATAATAATAATAATAATAATAATAATAATAATAATAATAATAATTATTATTATTATTATTATTATTATTATTATTATTATTATTATTATTATTATTATTATTATTATTATAGTAATGTACTACATGATGGCACCTGAACAATCCAATAAAGGCTCCCACTTCCTATACAGAATGCTGGAAATACTGAGTGTAGAGGGGTAGGGAGGCATGAAACAATACAGGGTGAGGATGTGGAGAAGGTAAATAAGGGTCAGTCACCTCTGGGGCATGTGCCACTCTTCTGGGTGAAGTGAGGATATCTCCATCTGTCAAGCCCCACCTTATGACCCATCAGCAGAATTAATCAGGAGGCAGAGAGCACAGGCAGCTGTCTCCAAGGAGCAGCCAAAGTGGAGCGGAGATGGAAATGGGACAAGCCCCAGAGAAGGCAGGGCTGTGCCAGTGCACATCTGTGTGCCAGCCCCAGAGAGCAGGCACTGCCTGCAAGGCAGGAGGGAGAGGAGCCTGACATATGTCCCATATTGAGTACAATTACCATTTTGTAAGAATTTTCATACCAAATTGGGAGCTGAACCAAAGAAGCCCACTGGCTGTCAGCAGCAGACACTGCCCCAGCACTCAGACATTTATTTCCTTTGGGTTTCACTTTTTGGCCTTCCCCATGAAGTCAACAGAAAAACTCTTGCTTTCTTCAGTGGATCAGCCTTCTTGTGATTGTCTGCCCCAATTTAACAATCCAGGAAACAATCCAGTTAAATTCCAATTTAACAATCCAGGCAACCCAGCAATTCCCCTTGTGTACCCAGGACAGTCCCTGCACTCCTGACCCAGCCCCAGAGCTCGGGAAGCACTGGGCAAACACACGAGGGCAAAGTTTTGTGTTACAGCTCTGCATCTCTAACACCAGACACCCTGAGCACCCAGCCCTTCTCTGAGGAGTACAAGAAATTACCCTCACCTGCCTCTCTGGAGGCAGCTCCCATTCACCTGCCCCACACACTGCCCAGGCTACAGCTGGCATTGAAAGTTCAGGCTTCCCCTTCCCACCCTGAGCAGCAGGAGCTGACACTACAGCAAAGGTATTTTTTAATGTATCAATACCCTTCCCAGATTTCACCCTTTTAAGGCAGTATTCTCCACTGCCTCTGGCTTGCTCACCTTCTCCTCTGCCTTCCCCTGCCAGGGCAGCCTGCCTTCACCCCAGCACAGTGTGCTCCCTGCCTGGGGAGCCCAGCTGGACAGCCTGTCATCCTCAGCAAACTCAGGCATTTCTATTTCTTTAATGTTCAGAATGCCCATTTATGGCTCATCCTGCCAGATGCTTCCTGCACACCCTTATCTGAGACTCTCAGAGCCTTTGGGCCAGTTTCTCCTCAGACCATGCCCATCTCTCCAGGAGAACAGGGGGGCAAATGGCCACAAGCAGCCTTGTTCTGATGGCTCTCCATCACCCTGCACCTCCTCGTTTGCTCTGACCCTGCCTCCAGCCCTGTTGCCCCTTATTTTCCCCTACCACAAGTACACTCAGCCCTCACAGCATGCTTCAGTTTGTTTGCCACCCCTCATTTGTTTTATTTGTTGTTGCCTGCTCATTCAGCATGGTGGATTTGCACCTCTCCAGGCTCCCAGAGAAATTAAGTACCACAGCACTGCCCTTCACCATCTCCCACTTAATCCTGCTTCCCACTTGCTCATCCTCCTATTAATGATCAGCATCTGTTCTCTGTCGGTGAAGCAACTTCTCACCTGTGTTATTCACAGCACTGATTTCATTTTTTTTGTGCTGTTTATCCCCTTTGGTGCTTACTGAAATCCACATATGCAAAAGCCACAGCACTCCAATCATTTACTAATCGCCTGCTCTTTGGGTATTAATGCACCTTTGTAGAAATCAGCACTACAAACCACCTAAAGACCCATCCCTGCAGGAAAGAAAAGCTTTATTACAAAGCTACAGCACAGTTCTTGGCAGTGAAAGAGTTCTGAGCAGAGATTTCACAAAGCTTACCAGCTCAGTCCTGCATGTTACGGAGTCAGCACCTTTGTTTTCCCGAGTTTTGGTTAAGATCATCACCATGGTAATGCAGTCCTGCCTCCATCAGGGTCCAGGCAAAGGGTGCTGGCAGCTGGGGCTGGCAAAGCTCCTCTGTCACTCCATGATCCCCCAGGAGAGGCTGGGCCCTGCCAGCTCCTCAGGGATGCGCAGGGACAGCCTTGGGGTGGGGAAAGCTCCCTGCACAAAGAGAGAGACAGGAACAGCTTTAGGGGGGTGGATGCACTGGGAAAGGGGCAAGCACTGCCCAAAAAACACCCTGATAGTGGCTGCTTCAGGGGTGTGCTTATTTTAGGATCTTAAGAATTGTGGATGTCCCCCTGCTCCCCACCAGCACAGGATGGGGCACTCACAGGAGCTGCTGGAAGCACACAAGGTACACAAGGTCTACACAGGGACACAAGTATTGCAGCCAAATTAATAAAGTTTCCTCTGAATTGCAGTCAAATTAATAAAATTTCCTCTGAATTCTCCATTTGAAGAGGGGACTGGCATCCCCCATACTGAAGATACAAAAGATTGAAAGAAGAGCTCATTAGAGCTCCAGGGTTGATCCCACAGAAACCCTTTGCCCCCAGACCAGCTGGGAGCAGATGTCCAACAGAAAAAGCCTCTCCAGCATCATTATGGCTGTGAAATCCCCTGGATGCACCTATCCCACCAGTCACTCCATGATTCCCAATCTATGGAGAGTCCTTTAGGGAGAAACACGAGGCAAAGAGTTTCCTGCAAGAAGGAGGGACAGCTCCTTGCCCTGAATCCCTAAGGGCCACACCATGCCTCTTGATCTCCAACTATTTCTTAGGTAGCTTTAGGAAAGTTGGACAACAAGGAGGCTCTCGAAATGAAAACTGCAAGCCAGCTCTGACCACGAGCCCTGCTGGCATCCTCCCCAGCAGATTTACTCCCTTGTAAAGCAGACAGATTGCATCTGAAATCTGATTACTGAAATCAGCGTTTTCCCCAAATCACTCCCTTAATCCTGTTTCTCTATTTTGCTGCTTTGCTCGTTAATGCAAACAACCAAACTCACCATTTGCACAATCCAAAGAGCACAAAACACTGATCTGGTACCATCCAGTCAAAGCCAATTGTGATGTTTAAGGATGATAGATGAAAATATTCCACTAGGTATTAACCCTTATGCTGAACTGATATGGCTGCTCTTCCCAGCTCCTGAATCATCCTGTCCATGTTTACTTGGATTAGAGCTTGCAGTGGTGTTAAGAGTAGCTCGTTTAAAGGCCAGCTGGCTGGTAAAGAAAAATCACCTTCTATTATTTTATGAGGACAAAGTTCATGCAGAGTGCAAAGCCAAGATTGGGAATCAATACATTTTCTGAAGATTTACTGTTCTCAAGGGTGCCTGATCCAGTCTCCAGCTTTCTGTGGGCTATCAATGGAATCATAATTTACAGTTTATTGGTAATGTCATCATAAACCTCTGGGCAGCCCAGTGACCAAGTGAAAACTGTCAGATAGAAAAGTAAACATTTCAGAGTGTCAAAATGACACATGATTTGTGAGCAGGGTTGGATGGGATACTGGGAAGGGATTCTTGGCTGTGAGGGTGGGCAGGCCCTGGCACAGGGTGCCCAGAGCAGCTGTGGCTGCCCCTGGATCCCTGGAGGTGTCAAGGCCAGGTTGGACAGGGCTTGGAGCCAACTGGGACAGTGGGAGGTGTCCCTGACAGGGGGTGGGATGAGATGGTCTTTAAGGTGCATTCTGAACACATTATTGTGTGACTCTGTGATTTTTTATCTATGACAACCTCAGCCAGGAGTGCTGGCTGCAGTGACAAACTCTGTGCTGAGAGGACACTGGGGCACCATTGGCACAAAGATCAAACAAGGGTTCAGAGCAGCATGAAAGCAGCCAAGCACCTTCACCAGGTATGATTTCTTCAGGAATAATTGCCCTTCCCTGAGGTGATGGTTAATGCTGCAGCAGCAGACTCGGGTACACACCCAGGCAGGAGCAGCAGCAAGTACAGGCAGAGGCTCCCTGCCCTGGCCAGCATGCAGCACACACCATCACACCTCCCTGCAATTAACACAGCCCTAATGACAGGCAACACAGCAAAGTGCTGCCAAGCTGGCAGCCACCACCACCCTCAGCATTGGGGCTGAGGCACTTGCAGGTATCAGCAACTTCAACCCCTGCTTGGCTGGGTTTTGGAGCCATCCCCATGGAGAAACTGCAGTAAAAAGGGAAACTTTCCAGTGAAATGTGATCTCTGGCTCCCCATCCTGCCCCCCAGGGCTCCTGACGCACGGCCCTGCCCTGTCACATCCTCTCCATGCAAACAAGTGCCATGGGACACAAGCTGCAGGGCCAGGATGGACCCTATTGATACTGAGGAGGAAACCACTGGGTATTTATAGACTGCATGCTTTCACACACACACACACATGGTAATAAAAAGATGCTCTGCAGGGACCATTAATTACTTTAAGAAATGTATTTCCTCATTTGCAATCAGATAAAGGAACTATCTTCATCATGATGTCAAGGTTAAGTTTAGACTCGAGCCACGGCCACTAGGATTGACAAAATCTCCTGAGCTTTATGAAAAGCCCCCAAGAAACTCTAGGGCACAGAAATCCCCACATTTTAGCAAACCCTGCTTTCTACATGGTTGAAAACACAGACCAAGCAGAAGGCTCATGTGATCTTTGCAGTGGCAGAGGTGGGAAGACGTTTCTCTCAGAGCTGCTTTCTAGACAATATCACACCTATGGAGTGTTTGCCTTGGAAAAAAATTAAGTGAAATGATCCAACTCTCATCCACAGGCTTGAAAGATAAATTCTGGGGAACAAACATGCTCCTTACAAGGCACAAGCACAGCCTTAGAGCTGCTCATGGGGGATAAACAGCCCTTCCCTGCAGGGAGGTCTCACACATGACTGGTAACACAGCAGGCTCCAGGCACCACTCAGAGCCATGCCCTGCTCACCTGCTGCACTGAGCTGTATGGAAAACACCTCAGGATTCAGCAAAGTGTCTGCCAGATGCTCTGCCACAGCTGGAGGGAGCTGAGCAGTGACCAGTGTCACACCCCCACGTAAATGATGGAAAACTTCCCCACAGGAAGGGTTACCAAGCCTGGAGTGCCCATCCCTGGGGGGATTTAAAAGCCCTGGGGATGTGGCACTTGGGGACATGGGTTAGTGGTGGCCTTGCCTGTGCTGGGGAAACAGCTGGGCTCTGTGATCTCAGAGGTGTTTTCCAACCCTACCAACTCCATGATCTCAGAAGTGTTTTCCAACCCTACCAA